TAAAGATAGGCATTGCACACATCGAGTCCAGATATGTGCCAATCCTCAAGCGCTGCTAGCGCGAGCATAAGGCGCACTGTCTTCAAGCGCACAACTGGTGAGAATATTTGGTCGAAGTCTATACCTTCAACCTGCGAGAAGCCTTTAGCGACTAATCTCGCTTTACGACGTCCATCTGATTTGACGTCAAATACCCAGCGACATTTCATGACTTTACGCCCTTTAGGGTGGTCAACCAAGTCGAAGACTCTGCGCCGACGGAGCGCATCCAATTCTTCGTGGCAAGCAGCTCTCCATTCCTTCTGCTTTTCTGGTGGTAGGTGAAGAATATCACGATACGTCCATTCTCTGACATTGGACGTGTCTGGATCATCTGCCTCAGGCGAAATAGCCTTCAGAAGCAGGTAATTAATTAATGGTACTCCCCCTTCCCGGCATAGCTGTGCCAGAAGTAACTCATCAGCGTCATGTTCAGACCGCTGGTCAGAGGCTTCAGGAGCGACTGGCTCATGCGAAGCACCTGGGGATTGAGCAGGAGGGTCGCGAGGTGGAGGGGCAGAGCTAGGTCTGGGAACCTGTTGCTTCTGCTTGGACTGGCGAGGTATGCGCGACGTCTTGGGTTTTTTGCCAACTAAATCCTTCCACTTCTTGTCTGACTCAATCTCGCGATAGGTTTCTACGGGATTCTGTGATTCACCGTAGATATTACCCGGGCGAGTTACTGGTTTCCTTTCTCTCACCGGTCTCCGCGGCTCATCTTGTGGCGCAGGATCCCCCGGAGGTGGAGAAGGCGGGTTCTCAGGCTCTCGCGCCCCAGGCTGCGCGGGTTCGTCGTCACGATCCTGGCCTGGCCCCTTTTGGGATTTAGGAGGAGGACGTGAGTCTGGCTCATCGTCATCAGTGATCCAGTCATCATCAGAATTTTCTGGTTGACTGTCAGCTGGTTTAGGCGCACTTTGCAGCCTAGTGCTTGCCCGTCGCTTTGTATTAGGGCATTTAGGGAACATAGCTTCGTCAAACAGCGCAGTAGGCTGAGTGACTATACTATTATTGGCGTGCATGAACTTGAAGCCATGGCCACCATCAGCGACACCAATGTAAGTCATCAGCTCAGCTTTAGGCGATAACTTATTGGGTCTGGTTTCCTTAGGCAGGTAGACATACGCTCCGCATCCAAAGACACGTAAGTGTTTGATGTCGGGAGCTTCTTTGTTCAGGACCTCATAAGGAGTCAGCCATTGATGGCGCTTCAAAGGGGTCCGGTTGTAGACGTGAACAGCATGGTCTACTGCAAATTCCCACCAAGATGGAGGTGAGCAGGACTCTAGCCGCATTGACTGCGCTTTGTCCATTATAGTCCGAATAAAGCGCTCAGCGCGACCGTTCTGTTGGTGCGCATAAGGTGCGCTTTGTCGGATTTTTATGCCCTCTGCTCTGAGCATCTCGATGAATGCATCAGATTTATACTCTCCCCCTGCATCGGACATCCACTCCTTAATTTTCCTGCCATATTGATTTTGTACGTAGGCTAGGAATTGACGAGTCTTAGCAATTGCAGCACCCTTGGAGCGCATATGCATGACCCATCCATAGGAGGTGTAATCGTCAAAGAAGACGATTGTGTACCGATACTTATGGTAGGAGTCTACGGGAAAAGACTTAAGATTCGAGTGAATTAACTCAAGTGGTTCTTTAGCCCGTAGAGTGGATGGCGGGAAAGCCTTAGAAGGCATTTTGCCTTCTGCGCATCCAGGGCATACTGGGTCTTCCGAAGGAAACTCCAGATTGGTGGGGAAACCTTTAGTGTGTTCCCTAGCTTGCTGCAGGACTTCCTTAGAGGGGTGTCCCATGCGACGGTGCATAATCCCATAATCGACCACATAGATCGTTGGGAATATAGAGTACGCATCCGGTGCAGGAATTGTACTGACACTGTAGATAGTGTCGCCGGGCTGCCGCGGTAAAAACCTGAATAAAGGTTCGCGCAATCCCTTTTCATAGAGACTTATGTGTCGGTCATTGCCAGACACTTTCAATTTATCCTGGAGCAATACTCCGAGTGACATGAGGTGAATATTCAGGTCAGGTATATAGTAAACTGGAAATAACCAGGTGGTTATGTTCCCGACGTCCTTAATATAATAATTCAGGACCGTCGTACCAAACCCAAGTATTCGTGCAAACCCGTTCGCGGTAGACGCGGTCGCAGGTTGCTTAAATTCCTCAAAGTCAATGAAATCACTCATGTCAAAAGTGAAATGTCGAGAGGCCCCCGAGTCGAGAATCCAGGTGTTACCCTGTTGTGCCTTATCTTTCCCCTTACATTTTGCACACGCAGCATAAGTTTGCGCATGAGTGCAATATATTAAGGCCAAAGTTACAGGACTCAATTTAAGATCTACACTATGCTGCCCGAACTGTGATGGCGCGTCAGTGGAGTCCTGTAGAGGGGAAGATGGCACGTACGAATAGTGCTCGTCGATAAAGGCATTCTGGTCGAAGCCAGCAGCCTCCGCGATAGTGTGGTCCAGGTCTTCCTCGTCGCCGAGACTGACAGTCTCCCCCTGGTCCTTGTCACTACCCCAGTCAATGGACTGGTTGTCGTCGTGGTCGCTGTCCGCAGCGTCATCCGCGCGAGCGACTCCTTCAAAGCGAGCGCGCTTGGATGCGTGGCTGGAGGCGACAGAGTCGGCGTCCTCCATGTCGACATCCGGGTCCGGGTCGACTTGCCCAACAAGAGCATCCAAAACCTTGATGTCCTCTTCAGTGGGACTTATATCAAGGTCCCGTGCGAGCTTGAAGGCTTTCTTGATACGCTTGTTGTTGTAGTGACTGGTATCCGCCGAAGGAGGCGGGTGGAACAGACCTTGCTCTTTGACCGTCCGAGTCTTGCTGCCGGTGGGTGCGATGTCGAGGACGTGAGCGATGGTTGGAGGAGGAAGGGAGACGTCGAGGCGATCAAGACGTCATGGGCATGGTGATGATCGTGGTTCTGCCCCTGACGCTTCTTGCCCGCGCGCTTGCTGCGGTAAGGGCGCTTCTTCCCATCTCGCGCATTGCTGCTGCTGCCCTGAGGGCGCTGCTGCTGCTGCGAAGAAAAGGAGGGATCACCCGGCTTACGCTTCACTGCTGAGATCTTGTGCGCACCGAGTTTCTCAGGCTTCTTGCCTTGAGACTGGTCCCAAGCAGTGGTAACTGCTTCCCGTACTGCACCTATGCTCATGTTGTCAGCAGAGGTAGCTTGGACCAGCATCTGCGCAATGTTCTCGTAGCGGCTGGGGAGCGCATAAAGGCAAATTAGACTTTGAATAACCATGGGAATCTTGACCTTGGCCGCTTCCAGAGTGTCGAAATGTTTGGATATCTTTGCGAAGGCTGGAGCAGGGTGCTGATCCGCCGGAATCTTCGTTGATAAGGCCCCCCGCAGCTCATTGTAAATGGCGCCGAGGGACATAGATGAATAGAGGGAAGACAATTGGTCCCAAGTTTCCTTGGCCGATTTTTTGTCCTTTATGTAGGAGGCGACGGCGGGAGAGCAGCGCAGACGGATCGTACCCATAGCCCTGACATCTTTTTCCTTCCAGGCGTCAGCAGTGGTTGAGTCCCTGGTGGTACCGGAGACGACGACAGCTGGCTGCGTGATGCTGCCATCAACATTTCCCCAGCGGCCTTGGGACATAAGGTACGCGATCATTTGCTCGGAACAGGTAGGCCAGTTCGAGCCGTCGAGGACGGGGACAACAGCGATCAGATTGTTCGACATTGTTTTGGAGCGATTGAGAGATCTGAAATCTGTATTGAGATCTCATCAGTATCAGCGAAGCTATGCAGCCCGATAAGGGCGCACTGCTCCATGCTGTTGGCTTAGGGACTGGCACAGTCGCGGGAATCCCGGAACCCATCTGAGCGGGACCTCTTCTGCAGAAAAAGGCTTCCGCGGAAGTTTATTTCCACGTCATCCGCGGGAGTGGCTGTTACTCAATGCTGGCTTCTCATTGGCTGGGAGATGTCCGCGCCTGTCACCTCTCGATGTACTCGAGTATGTATCGCCAAGTACGGTTTCCGTGGGAGTTTCAAACTCCGCTTTCCGCGGAAATCCTTTCCGTGGAATTACCACAGGCAGTCCCCGGAAGGGCCCGTGCCAGTCCCTATGTTGGCTCCATTAGAGAGTTACCCCAGGATTGATCATCAAGCCTGATGGCTGCTGATAACAGCGCCTACGGCGATGATCATGCATCAAGCCACACCGCAGCCTGTGAGGGCGCATAGGGCGATGCACAGGTGAGCGAGGCGCAACACGCTGCAGC